AGGAATGTGAGCAGTGCTGCTGGGCTGGAATGAGGGGAATGCAGCTGCCCACCCGCCCGGACCTGCAGGCAGGCGTGGGACAGACAGACAGCCGTGTATTTCCTAGAGAAATGCCTAGAATTCAGGGAGCTTATGAGTAACCCACTGTTGTGCAAACACAGGAGCGCAGTGCCAGGAGTCCAGCAGTGCCGAGCACGCTGGGTCTCCCTTGCTCAGAGAACAGCTCTGCGGGGTATTTAACAAATGAGCTTCAAAATGAACCCTTGGATGAGGGCAGGAGGATTTGAGTTGCCTTGGTTTGCTGGTTGTGATTCCAGGGAATGTTGCTGGGTGAAGGAGGAGGTGGGAGACAGCGAGCAGGGCAGCAGACGGCGGCGTCTGGCACGAGCACTGGTCACTTGCCCCATCTCTTGGGGCCTGATCCCAAACTCTTCCCTCTTCCTTCCCTGTGAGGTGTTTCTTTGTCTTCTTGAGGACAGAGGAACAATGTGCTTTCCAGATCAAGTTGCCCACATGAGCAGCTCCTGTTGAATCTCCTGTGACTGTTTTGTGGCTGGAAAGCCTGGTCGGTGCCTTCTCAGACAGGATGGTCACCCGCTGGTGTCCACCCTGCCCCACTGCCAGCCCGGGCAGGTTTGAATTGGTGACTTGGACTAAAATCTGCTGCAAGCACATTCATCTCCCTGTGGTGAGGAGAGTGGCCAGGCAAGGCGGATGCCAGGTTTGTGTGCAAACATTGCATGTGGTTGACCCATGTGACAAAGTGCTGGTGTTGGTGTGTGTGATCCTGCTCAGTCTCCTGTTACAGAGGTGTGAGGTCTCTTGTGGGGCATCCATAAGATTCCTGGGGGCATCCGTGGCCCTGAGCACTAAATCACTGTGGTTAGTGCTGATCTGGGGGCCTTTCCTCCAGCAGTGGTGTCAGGTGCCTGCCTTGCTGGGCTTGGGACGTGCAAAACAGCGTCTGAAGCGGGTGATAATGTTCCTGGCTTGTCAGAAGCATCCCTGGGCTGTGGAAATGGCTGGGCAGTTAGTGACCAGGAGGGGTGTGGGGCTTCATGGAGGACTTTGTGGCTGCAAAATGTCTGGCGTTCCTTCTGGGGAGGAGCACACCCTGCTTCCTGGCTGCTGTTGTCTGCAGTCCACCCTGCAAAACGGCTTGTGTGTGTTCCTGTTGACCAGGGACTGGGCTTTTCCAGCAGCAGGGAGATGGTGCCTGCGGAGGAGGCACCTCTCTCTGGCACTTTGCAAGAAGGAGCTTGCAAGGAGGGTCCCTGCCCAGTCCGGAGGGGTTTGCGTCCAGAAGCATCACTGTCAGACAGTGCTGACCCCTGCCTGCACTCTGGCTCAGCAAGGCAATGCCAGAGCCTGTCTCCCAGCTTCCTGCTCTGGCTGCTGGGTTGCAGGGCTCTGCTAGGACGGAAACAGGATCCAGGGACCTTGGTTCCCATGAGCTGCAGAGCTCGCTGGGCTCCTGCCAGAGCCCCAGGCGATAGGAAAAGGCCTTTCTCCCCACACCCTGTCACTGGCTGGTTCCTGCTTTGGCTGATCCCCTGTTTTTCTTCCATCCCAGGCATCCCGACTCTCATTGTGCTGGACCCCCAGGGAGAAGTGATCACACGGCAGGGGCGGGTGGAGGTGCTGAACGACGTTGAGTGCCGCGAGTTCCCCTGGCACCCCAAGCCCGTGCTGGAGCTGACGGACTCCAATGCTGTGCAGCTGAACGAGGGCCCCTGCCTCGTCCTCTTCGTAGGTACGGAGCATCACTCCTTGGGCAGCAGGGCTTGGGAAGGGGGATGGGCCACCTGCCAGCTCGGCTGGAGCTGACCCTGGGGATGAGAACCTGTCTCTGGTGGTGGCAGCGTCCGTGGGATGGGACATCAGCCTGTTTCCATCACCGGAAGCAATGCTGCGGGGTGCAGAGAGGACATGGGGAGACAGAGGTCCCTGTGGAGTCCTCTCGAGGTAATCAAGGGGGCTGACAGACCTGGAGCCTCACCTGTAAGAGAGAAATGGGCTGCTGCAGCTCGCAGGGGTTGGTCAGAGCTTGCCCATGCCCACGGGTCTCCCACAGCTCCAGCCCAGCCACCCCAGGGACATGATGGAAGAGCGATGGGCAGTGGAGAGGAGCTGCTGGATCACCGGGGGTGCAGCAGC